TAACATACTTAGGTCGTATCAAAGAATCAGATAGTGTCAGCTGAATTTTCAGAGATATATAATGAGGAAAGGGGGCTTGGAGAATTTAAAACTCTTAAGAGATATTGGAGAATCAGAAAAAGACGTTGAAATTGAAATGGGATTTTTATTTTTAGAAAAGAGAGAATTTTCAATTTTAGTTAAATCTCTCTCCAAAAAAATCGGATGACACGCATTCATAGGTGAAACCGTTTCCCATTCTAGCTTAGTTGAAGTTAATTAAATTGAAGAAGTTATTGAACATTAAATCCAGACGTTCGAATCCAAAACTTTATCCTAAAGTATATATATTAACAGGTGTAATATTGGAGGAATCGAGACTTTTATCATACAGTCTCAGTTACGGTGGACTGGTCATATCATGAGAATGTCTGATGACAGGATCCCCAAGATTCTAATGTACAGCCAGTTAGATCAGGGCTACAGGAATGTAGGACGCCCATGGCTAAGATACAAAGACAAGCTGAAAAGCAACTTGTCAGCAGTCAATATATCACATAACACCCTTGAGCGCTTAGCCTTGGAGCGGGTAGAATTGGGATCAACGTGTTTTAGTGGACTCAGCAATTTTCAATCTGCTTGTCTGAATCATCTTCAAGAAGCGAGAGCAAGATCTAAAAGGTCAGCCAATCTAACAGTGATCTCATCTCACAATGCTCACACTTGCTCCATATGCGGCCTCCTTTTGTAAATCAATAGCAGGTCTTAAGTGACACTTAAGATTATCGCACAAACTTTCATAACTGAATCAATTAAGTTAGATACTTGTACGTCGAAACCGAAGGGAGAGTCCATTAAATATATATATATATATATATATATATATATATATATATATATATATATAGTGCCTGTCATTACCAGAGAAGGATTTGAATTTTATCCATGTTTATTTCAATTGAGGTTCCATTAACATCCATAGTCAAGTCACGAATAGAATTCATTCGTGATAATAGCTTAGATATCATGACAAGGATTCTATTGAAGAACACGACGATTCTATTGAAGGAAATGGATTATCGGATGAGAAATGGACAAACTAGGTAATTTTAACGCTTCCAAAACGAAACTGCTCTCTTTTAATCATATGAAAGAACCTTTTCCATGGCTGATGCTAACCTCCGGGAGAGTGACTCATTGCGCTTTCTCGGACTAACCTTTTCATTTGACGAGGACAATTGCCTAACACGACACAGTGAACCAACTTTCCTAGCTGCAGACCTTGCAGTTCATTCAATATAATCTTTTCACTTCATGTCAGCAGAGAACGTGTGTCAGGGATGGCGCAACGAGTCGCTCTCCAGGAGGTTAGCATCAGCTTTTGCTATGCATTTTGCGAAATATAATCTATTCGCTTCCCATTGATTTTTATTCCGTGACTTGTTCGCCAGAGTTTCTTTCTGTTAAAATGGCTGCCACCCTAGTCTAGCTTGATATTTAACCCATAGCTGGTAGGGGAGATTAGACAAATACATTTCCAATTGCATTTCTACGTAAGTGAACGTAACAAACCAATTTTCTAACACGACAGAGTGAACCGCTCTTAGCATTCTTTATTTACTCCTGTCTTAAGTATGTTTGATCGATTATAAGATTAAATTGGCAGCAGTTATCAAAAAGGACATAAATCTGTTGTTAAATGAAGCAAGGAATGGCTTGTTAATAGGAAATTCCCCCAAACGAAACTGCTGTTTTTAATCTTCTAAAAGAACCCATTTTACCTTCTATCAGCATGGCGATATTCAGTCACCCCCCACCCCGACGGCGTCATGTGGCACAAGGCCTTTTTAACGTGGGCATTCCGAGCCCGTGGGCTCGGCCAAAAATATGCCCATTGAACCCGTATAAACGGGTTCAGGGCCGGTCTACCTCCCCGAAGGAGACTCCGTGGCTGATGCTAACCTCCACGAGAGTGACTCATTGCACTTTCTCGGACTAACATTTTCAGCTAACATGAAGTGTGAAGTGTTTATTGAATCAATGGAGCTAAGAAAGTTGGTTCACTATTTCGTGCTAGACAATTTTACTCGCCAGATTCTATCTTGTATATTTGGAAAGTCACTATTCGACTTTGCTTTGGATATATATTCAGAGATACTTGATAAAATCTACAGAAGTATCTGCAATATTATCCGTCCTGACCTGGCATCTCAGCGTCTAGAAAAAACAGAATGCAGAAAGCATTGGACGGCCGTTTCGTCCTATATTTTGGACTCATCAGCAGTGGTGGAATTCTTACTGAGTTCTCTGTAACCATAGGACTGTGCCCCCCCCCCTGGAGCCACGACTACTTTCACCAAGCCGCTCACTCTAGAGTATTAGAAGCCGGTTCAAGCAATGATATACACATGATAGAAATTATTAGGAGGATTTGATAATTATATTTAATTAATTCATCGAGTCTGAAACCTCAACAGAATGCAAAAAGCACTGGACGGTCGTTTCGTCCTATATTTGGGACTCATCAGCAGTGCGCATCCACTACCAAGAATTGAAACCCTGACAGTTTGGTTGTCAAGCAAAAGTCATACCAACTGTTCCAAATGGGCCTCAGTGACGAAGAGATTGCAAATCAGACTCAATATAGCGCCGCTCGCTCACATATTCCCTGGTGTAAATCAACTGAGATTCTCTCTAACCATAGGACTGTGACCCCAGGAGCCACGACTAATATCACTATGCCGATCAGACTTTATGGTAATTATTCTGCTGAACTTTCTGCTATGGTACCTAGACTTTATGAATTTAAGCGTAATAGTAGGCAAGATCTCTTCATTTTACAGTTGAAATAGCGAGATGTAACCGTAAGTTCTATGCTAACAGATTCTTCTATCGCACCTATCATATTCAAAAAATATAAATGCAATATCTATTGTCATCTTCTGTCTTCGTAATTTCTGTTCTCTTATTGTATTTTTTTAAAAATAATGTTTTTCCTTTTCTCATATTCTATCACACTCGGTCAACCTTTGCGTCTTAGGGGCTGTATTGCCTTGCTTAAGATGATGTGTTTAAAAAACAACAAAACCTATCAGTTTGAACAAAGATAATATTCTCAAATACTCGGTCACAATGACTTGCGAATTTCTGCTAGCATAACAATTGGATAGAGCCTCACATAGCTTTCAGTCATTTCCCAAAGATGCCACAAGCTGAAATCATATATCCAGATTTATATTACCAAGAAATCATCCCATTGTTAAATCGACTATTGTGAGAAGCGAACCTGGGCCTCGGGGTCAGAACTAATCACTTATCACCCAGGTGTTAAGTGATTTTTTTTTATCTAGCAAACTATTTATCTATCTATCTATCAGAAAACGCTGGATGTAGTTTGTGTCCGGTCAGTTCGCCTATCACCCGGTTCACACTCCTCTCCGGTTTTGAACAAGACTAACGGTTTATCCCTTGTTTCCTGTTCAGGATTGGATTTCCGGTTCCTTCTAAAATCTTCACAATTCTAACGACTCCACCGAAACCTTAAAAATTTAATTTAATATTTATCTATTGATTTTCCTTCAGTAGGAGTAGATAGATGACTTGTAGCTTCGTGCTAGCACAACCACCGACGGCTTCCAAGGGTCAACCCTTGGTATGTCTCCCAAGGGTCAATACCTGTTATAGCTTTCAGGCAATTTCCAAAGGTGCGACACGCTGGTATCACCTCCGATAACATCAAGAAGTCAGTTTCTTGACAAATCGACCATGGTGAGATTCGAACCCGAGTCTCATGGACACGTGACCGAATGGTTAGAACGGTAAGTAACCTCCTACAACTGTAAGTAACCTCCTACAATCTGAAACATGTTTCGGCTTTAAGTAACCCACCAAGGGTTGATAACCCGTAAAAAACAAATCAATCAAACAATTATCTATCTACGTATCTATAGAAAAATGTAAGTCAGTCAAGAAAAATAAATATAGATTTTCTTTCCAGAATCTATCTTTAATCTATCAATAAGTCTACCATTCATCCATGTTTAGAATATTGCTGCCACATATGGTACGGTGCCCTGATATTTAACTTGAGCTCCTTGATAAAATTCAAAGAAGAATCAGCAATATTATTGGTCCTGACCTGGCGAGTCTGCTTCAGTCACTTTCCCACCGCCATAAGATTGCCTCTCTGTGCCTTTTCTATAAATACTTTCATGATAATTGTTCAGATGAGTTCTTTCCTATGGTACCTAGACTTTTATGAATTTAAGCGCAGTCCTAGATTGGCGGAAAGGTCTCATCAATTTACATTTAAGCTGGCTAGATGTAGCCGAATGCTCTATGCTAACAGTTTCTTCACTCGCACTTCTCGCTTGTGGAATTCCTTTCTGGCTCCATGCTTTCCAGCCACCTTTAATCTACAAAAATCGAAATGCAATGTTAATCGCTATCGACTGTCCTGATTACTCTCTTCTCTCCCCGCTCATGATTAATGTTTATGCTCCTCACTCTTCCACGCCCTGTAATTTCTTGTGCCTTAGTGGCTTTACCTCCTTGGATGGGGTGATACCGATTAAAAAAAATGGCGTTTACTATTTGAACGGATTTAGAGTTCTTCTAGTAATCTATGTCATAATGTTGGACCGATTTTAGTCTTAGTTAGCTAATAACTTACTGTCGTTAGCCGTTTCTTTACGAATATTCACTTCTATTGTACTGAGTGTATTATTCGTTGTTGGCATTTTGCTGTGGTAATCTATCTGGTGGCTGTAAATGCCAACGATTGAAGATTCCACACGAAAAGAACAAAACATTGTTATGAGTCATCAAGTTTCTTTTTTTTTTTCGGTCACGTAAATGAGGCGGAGAATTTTAGCTACTTCCAAGACAACCATTCAAGTCGGCGCCCGGTAAAGTTCTTCTAATAAGATTTCGTTAAGAACAATTTTCGGTTGGAAATCTTGGTAGAATTCTTTAGGAAAATACACCGTAAGAAAGAGGGGACATCTTAAGTGAGAAAAACCATGCCAAACTACACTCTGTATTACTTCAATGGACGCGGACGGGCTGAGATCTGTCGTATGCTGTTGGCAGCAGGGGATGTGAAATATAATGACAGACGGATCGAAGTCAACGAGTGGGACACATACAAGGGGCGTAAGTATTACGGTTTTCCACAATTTCCATGAATTTTTCCTTTCCAGCGTTATCTATCTATCTATCTATCTATCTATCTACCTTAACCCTGTCATATTTTTGCTTCTTTCTTTCTATCTATCCCAGTCTGTTCATTTTCTATCTATCTAGCCAGGTGTGTTCATTTTCTATCTATCTCATTCTCCTCATATCTATTTATGTATCTATGTGTCTATCTACTCAATCTAATCTATCTATCTCATTCTGCTCATATCTATCTAGCTATCTATCTATCTATCTATCTCAACCTTGTCATATTTTTGCTTCTTCTTTTCTTTCTTTCTTTCTTTCTCAGTTTATCTTTCTCAACCGTGTCATATTTTTTGGTTCTTTCTTTCTCATTCTGCCCATATCTATCTATCTATCTATCTATCTATCTATCTATCTATCTATCCCAGTCTGTTCTTTTCATCTATCTATCTATCTTATGGACAAGGTCCGACAATTTATTTATTAAAGACATATTTTTATGTTTAACGTTGTTATTTTTTTTTTTTTTTTTTATAGATACAAGTATTTACAAATGCTATGATAAACAGTATCTTTATCTGAATATCTTTTCATTTTTCTCCTTCGAACCTGCATCCTATTTTATGTCATATACGCTGACGTGCCTTTCCGCTTGAGCTCAAAGAACCAATCGGTAGACAAGGTCTTTATCTTATAAACCCAACTATCTATCTATCTATCTATCATTATCTATCTATCCAGGTCTGTTCATTTTCTTTTTTTCTTTCTATCTATCTATCTATCTATCTATCTATCTATCTATCTATCCAGTTCTGTTCATTTTCTATCTATCTAGCCAGGTCTGTTCATTTTTTTCTATCTATCTATCTTTCATCTATCTATCATCTATCTCAATCTCATTCTGCTTATATCTATTTATGTATGTATCTATCTTTCTCATTATCTATCTCATTCTCTCTTCATATCTATTTATGTATCTATGTGTCTATCTATCTATCTATCTATCTATCTATCTCAACCTTGTCTGTTCATTTTTCTTTCTCATTCATCTATCTCAACCTTTGTCTATTCTTTCTTTCTCATTCTGCTCATATCTAACTATCTATCTATCTATCTATCTATCTATCTATCTCATTCTCCTCATATCTATTTATGTATCTATCTATCTACTCAATCTATTCATATCATCTATCTATCTATCTCCCCCTCATATTTATGTATCTATGTGTCTATCTACTCAATCTATTCATATCTATCTATCTATCTATCTATCTATCTATCTATCTATCTATCTATCTATCTATCTATCTATTCTGTGTTCCTATCTAACTTCAACTGAAATAATAAAAAAATAAGCCATTGTCTCTCTTTGTAAAATGTAATTACCTGAAAAGAAAAGCGTAAAACAAAAGCTAACAGGCCAATTACGTTTGTCTGCCGTCGCGTTATATTATTTCATTAAAGTCAAAGAAATAAGTTCAGGAGAATTTATTGGCGTCGGGAAAAATTGGTGTTAATTTCCATGAATAAAGAATGCCTCTCTCATAAGATCTATCTATCTATCTATCTATCTATCTATCTATCTATCTATCTATAAAATGCATATATAAATTTTCAAATAAATATTTTATTTAAGTTTAGATGTTACCAAAAGAGTGCTCAGTGTGTTAATACAGAGCTATAAATATATATTAATAAATACACATATTAACTTACGCTGAAACTACGTCTCGGAGTTTCGTGTTCAGTGCAATATTCAGGTACTTATAATGATGACGAACTGCTCATATATATATATATATATATATATATATATATATATATATATATATATATATATTTTCATTTTTAAAACACGGTCAAGGTATCGTGTCCGTGTTCATAGTTGATATTACTGAGTGTAGGTAAACTATGAACATGAACACAATAACTTGACCGTTTTGATAATGAAAACATTATATAAATATATATATATATATATACAACAATCTATCTATATATCTATCTATCTATATATATATATATATATATATATATATATATATATATATATATATATATATATACACACACATGTGTGTGTGTGTTTGTGTTTGTGTGTCTGTGTGTGTATTTAGGCAGCAAATTCTCTTTTAGACATGTCTGATTGAATAAATTACCGACATTATGTCGACTAATTTTTTTTACAAAATCCGTTCCTACTCACGAATAACCTTCTGTTCATTGATGGTGAAGGATGAGAGAAATGTCTTATAGATGTTTAAATTTCTTTTATTTTCATTTCACAAATATATATATATATAAAGAAAGAACAGTAAGATATATAATCCGGTGTTCTTATAGATATTTTTATTTTTACAAAATAGTGCCCAATGTAAATTTGCAGAGCATCAATATTATAAATTAATTGATTTAAAATATGCTTTTTTCGCTACACAGTTCTAACCATGTTTTTTGAAACATGGTTAGAACTGTGTATGGAAAACCATATTTTAAATCAATTAATTTATGATATATATATATATATATATATATATATATATATATATATATATATATATATATATATATCTTTTCTACTTCTTTCTCACTCTCTGAGGTATTATGTACACTATTTACATTATTCGGACTATTGTCCTCATCTTTTGTTGCCATATTTATTACAACGTTTCGCCTTTCAGTATCTGTCTATATTTCTAAGATGAGGTATTATGTACACTATTTACATTATTCGGACTGTTGTCCTCATCTTTGTTGCCATATTTATTACAACGTTTCCGCCGTTGTACGCACCGGCCTTCTTTATGTTGTTGGAATGTCGAGTCGAACTGAACCATTTATTTCGCCTGTCCTGACACATGGCACAGTGGATAAAGGCGTTGATTAGATCCAGTAACAGGACCCAAAGAGTGTGAGTTCAATACCTGGTTAAGGCAGTGGAGAACTTGGAGAGGGGAATTAAAAGGAGATAACTGATAACTGACATCCATTAAACATGGCACGTGGAACTAGAACAGTCTACCTTATAAGTCAGGTTCGTGTTTTCATGCAGACAGAACGATATCGTCCGTTATTTATTAAGTATTGGCAGGGCGTAACGATCGTGCAAACCGAAAGAAAAACTGACTAACGAAGCTGAATAATAATAATAAATCTTGAAACCTAGTTTGTATTCACATAATTTAGTTATAGTAATAGATAGTTGCGTCTATTAATTTTTTTTTTTTTTTTTTTTAAGCATTTCACCCGACGCAAGGCGTGAGTGCCACTGGTTGACAGAGAGTTACATAGAGTGAAGGTGTGAGAAAAACTGTACATAGAGGGAATGAGGAAAAGATAATAGATGAATGCAGTTTTTGAAGATTTTATTTACTAGGGAAGCAAGTGAGCCGAAGGGAATTCCACAGACGGGAAGTGCGAGAAAAGAAATTGTTGGAGTAGAAGTGAGGGTTGCATTTAGCTATTTTAACGGTAAAAGGCTGGGACCTAGTTGCCAGTCTAGTATCACGCTTAAATTTATGTAGTCGAAACATCAAAGATAAAATCTCGACAGAGAGCAGTTTCCATGAAAGTATTTGTAGAAAAGACAGAGGGATGCCACATCAGAAAGTGACTGGAGTCAAGATGTCACGTCAGGATCGATTACATTGCAGAACCTTGTTTGGATTTTGTCAAGAACCTCGAAATTAACAGCTGGGGCATAAGATCAGATATGACAACATTACCCAATGAGATAAAAAAAAGAAATTATTGTGCTTGATAGAAAGACGAGGAAGATGATTACTATGCATGACGCTTTTCGCTCTAAAGCAAATGTGGGCAGATTGTATGTAAAGAGAAAGGATGGAGGGAGAGTACTTATAAGTGGTTAAAGTTGTACTGAACGTGGGCGGAGAGTACCTGGTGATGAGGATCTGCTAAAATATGTGGTACCATTTTTGCATAGGATAACATTGGGACGGAAGAATTCAAGAGTAAAAGAGAAGGGAATATTTTCAAGGAATGTGACAAGGATAAACTTCTAAAACCGACCCCTAAGTTAAGCTGCATGGAAGACCTATTATTTTGTGCGTGTGGTGATATCTTAAAACGTGGTGAAACACTAAATAAGTATTTCTCAACTTTTTTTAAGTAACGACACTCGTAGGAGCAAATGAAAATACCACGCCACACCACACTCAGCAAAATTTTAAAGGGTATATATTTAAATGTTATGAAATAAAACCATAGATTTTAAAAAATACGCACGCAAATATTAACTTTATTTCAATGTTTCTATTCAACTATTTGTGTAGATTATTTAGTGTGAAACCCTTGCCTGGTTTTTGTTCGCAATTTCTTCAATGTTTAGTCGAATGTGCGATAAGCAGACCCCCATTTCTTCTTCAGATGAGTGTAGTCTTTCCCCTTTCTTATTTTTGATGCTATTTAGAGTTAAGACGCTTAATTCGCATAAATAAGAAGTAGAAAATTGCAATAAAACTGATAAAGCTTTTTTTAACCTTATAACTGGTCAAAGCTGTGTCACATTCAAGTGAGGGGAGAGTACCTGGTGATGAGAATCTACTAAAATATGTGGTTCAAGATATGGGCATTTTTTGCAGAGGTTGCCATTGGAACGGAAGAATTCAAGCGGAAATGAGAAGGGAATATTATGAAGGAATGTGAATAAATGGTCAATATTAAACCTGTGCCTTAGGATTTTTGTGCGATTTCTTCAATGTTTGGTCGAATGTTCGATAAGCAGACCCCCATTTCTTCTTTAGCTGAGCGTAGTCTTTCTCGCTTCTTATTTTTTATTTTGGTTTGAGAAGACTAATTCACAAAAATAATTGCATTAAAAGTGATCAACCTTTTTTAGCTAACGTGGAATATTCCTTTTGTATTGAAATCCAAAATGTATCAATGGGTACTATCCAATTTTTTTTTTATTTTGAGCCCTCGATCATTAGAAATGGTGGCCAATTTTTCTTCATAATCGAATAATAGTAATTATTTGTAGAAAATATGAACTTAATTTATTTCAATGTTTCTATCCAACTATTTGTATAGCTTATTTAGTGAAACCCTTGACTCGTGTTTTTTCGTGATGTCTTCAATGTTTGGTCGAATGTGCAATAAGCAGACCCTCATTTCTTTTTCAGTTGAGTATAGTCTTTCTCGCTTTTTTATGTTATTTACGGTTAAGAAGCCTAATTAGAATAAATAAGAAGTAGAAAATTGCAATAAAACTGATAAGGTCTTTTTAGACAATGTTGGATAAAATGTTTAATATTTATTCATTTATCCAAATACTCACGCTGTACCATTACTATTTGCATACTATGTATGCCGTGACAGAAAAATACAAAGAAGAATCGGTTGTGGAAGAAAAGAACTTAATCTACGGGATAGTGTAGTAGTTGTATAGTCGACATATTTGTGAATGCAAGTTGCATGCAAAATCTAAAATAATTTTTACTTTTATTTTTTATAGAAATGCCGGGATCTGTTCTTCCAATCTTGGAGATTGATGGCAAAGTGCAGATTCCACAGACTATGGCCATTGCGCGCTACCTAGCCAGGGAATTCGGTAAGTATGCCAGTTAAAATATGTCCTACGTTTTCTGCCAGTGAATAATGTGATTAAAATATTTTTTCAAAGAATTTGTAAATTTATTTAAGGAATGATATATATATATATATATATATATATATATATATATATATATATATATATATATATTCCGAATTCCATCGAATCCATTACATTCACTTACGTGCTAATACCCTTGGAAAAGATATGAATCCTCTTCTTCCCCTCCAGCTATGGGTAAAATAGCAGGACAGACTGGGTTCTATAGCCTTGATGGCAACTGGTCTAGGAAAAGGGCAACTCTGAATTCAAAACCTGCAGAGGGTCGTTTGGGAACCTTGTGACATTCGGTGCACCAGGTCTCTGTATTCGTCCCTTCAAAAAGTGTGGATGGTCCTGCACGAAACCTTCAAAACTATAATCAAATCTCATGTGCCGGTGTCGGGCTGTCGGTTTCCTGGAAACTGATCTGCTTGACCCTCATACGTCGAATTTCGACGGGAGAGTCGACTATATATATATATATATATATATATAGTCGACAGCATCGGCCTCTCAGATGGGGAGAACTCGAGGAGCGTGAGGACTTTGAAGAGAAGGAACAGTGGTTCTAGCAGAATGGTACTCCTCCTCACAATGTTACCATGGCTTGACTTGGTGGAATATTTGAGGAGCATCTCATCAGCCGCAAAGCTAAATTGAATGGGCACTTCACTCGCCTGACCTGAACCCCCCACCAGATTTCTTTCTTCTAGAGTACCTCAAGGACACCATTTCACAGAGCAACCCTTGCATCATTGTTGTATTGAAGTCTGCCATCACTGAAAAGATTCCTCCGATCACCCAGGGTGAACGTGAATGCGTTTTCAACAACTATATCCTGCAGTACCTTAAGTTGAATGGCAGACAGCTGGATCATATCACTCTAGGGCCCCTCTCGACATTTTTGGTTCATGTTTGAGACGAAATGGTTGCAGATCCTTAAATGGTTTCCTTTTACTTTTCCATAATTATAATTTCCA